ACACACACACACACACACACACACACACACACACACACACATACAAGTAAGAAGAGAAGGAGGGAAAGGACGACAGGAGCTGCATATGCAGACTCGCAAGGCGGAAAGGCTCTTCAGATGAATGCATACACTCCTCCTCCTTGTTTCTGTTCCCCCCCTTTTTTTTTTCTTTTTTTTTCCGTTTTTTTTTTTTTCCTTTTTTTCGTTTTTTGTCCCCCCTTTTTTTCGTTTCATCTTCAATTGAATCAATGGAGTGGCAGGGTAGCACAACCCTGACCGAATTAACTGAACCCCCAGGCACCACTAGAAGATCGAGAGAGCGGCCCGCTCTCGGATCATGACGAATAACTGGCAGGGTACGGGGACCTTTGGGAACGTAGATCGACCATGCATTGGTCTTCGTTTCGCGATCCAATTTTTTGATTGGCCTGTTCCACCCTTATCTTCTTTTCGGTTATTTTAGTTTTTTCATCTTTTCATTTTTCCTCCTTTTTTTCCAACTTTTTCCGTTTTTTCTTTTTCCCGTCTTTTTTTGTGTCCTTTCTTTTCCTTTTTTTTTTTTTTTTTTTTTTTTTTTTTTTTTTTTTTTTTTTTTTTTTTTTTTTTTTTTTTTTTTTTTTTTTTTTTTTTCTTTTTTCTTTCTTTCCTTTTTTCCTTTTTCCTCCTTTTTTTCTTGAACGTAGGATAGGCTTGTATAGGTGGGTGGATAGCAGCGATAGCTTGTATCGGAAGGCTGTAGTTTGGGAGCACGCATCGCAGCTATATGTAAACAGAACGCATGGGTTCTATTCATCAGACCACCATGCGAACAGCGAACGACCAAGGGGGCGACAGTTTTTTCCGCGATTGCGAGGGCTGGGTGGATCGGCGGGCGATACGGACTTCTTCGCGGACTGGGACCTGAAAGAGGAGCAGCGGGACGAGGAGGAAGTGGTAACGTTGCGGGGGAACAACACCCTCCCGACTCTGTGTTCGTACACAGGTGCCTGAGCACTCCAAAGCCAGACATCATGCATAAGCAACGATTTCGTCAAAACGAACATTTTTTATTTTTTTTACGAAATTGAAAATCCAAACTGCAGCCAAAATTTGATGAAATTTTTGGTACATCGAGAACGCCCTACCCCCTGGATGTATCTGGACTCAAGCGGAGTCCAGATACATCAAGGGGGGTACGACGTTTTCAGAACGCCGTACCCCCCTGGATGTATCTGGACTCCGCTTGGGTCCAGATACATCGAGGGGGTAGGGCGTTTTCAGAACGCCCTAGCCCTCGATGTACCCAAAATTTCATCAAATTGTGGCTGCAGTTTGGATTTTTAATTTCGTAGAAAAAATAAGAAATGTTTGTTTTGACAAAATCATTGTTCACACTGCCTCTACCTGCCCCGCTAAACCTGCTCTAGCTAGCCTATCCCCTGCGCCTACATGAAGCGTCGCGTTCTTGCTCCTCCTCCTCATCGCCTTGCTTCCCAATCTCGCCATAGCCTGCACGCTTTTTGTCGCGTGCCTTTCGGATGGTGTTTCTCTTCGGCTATCGGCGTGGCGCTTCGCTGTTTTGATCGGCTGCACCATTTGCTTCCCGACCATCTTTCTCGACTGTTGCTGCTGCCTTTTCTTTATCATTGGCGGGAGGGTGGTTTACTCATTAAGTCGCGCGACGAATTTAGCTAGGGGACGGAGCGATGAAGCGGAGATCTGTAACGGAGGACTCAGCTTGCGCCCTTCTGGCCTTTCTTTCTTTCCTCTCCTTCCTTTCCTTCCTTTACTTCATCCACTCCCTTCCCTATCCCTCTCCGCAAGACCTCTCCCTCCCCCTCCMCCCCGCCCCGACCCTCTCCGCCCAATCCCACGCCCCTTCACCCCCCCTGTCTCGCTGCTCCCCTCATCATAACCCCATTCCCCCGCCAACCATCAATACCTCCCCCCCGCCTTCCAGACATCGTGGAAGATGTCCCCCCCTCTGATGACGCCCCATGTGGCATGGGAAAAAAAAGTGCTTCAGGGAGCTGCCACGCCCTTCCCGCAATTCGGCGCGATGATCCGCGCAGCTGCACGAATGAGATGGATCTGGAGGAGAGAGCTGAAGCGGGATATACCCCTCCCCCTCCCCCTCCCCCTTCCCTTCTTCCCTTCCCTTCCTCCCCTTGCCCTTTCCATCCCCTGGTCTTTTCTTCCACCCCCTTGGAACCACATGGCTGTTCAATGACAGGGATACGGGACGGGCAATGTAACTTGTAATTGCTTTTGTTGCAAGTATAAACTGATCGTGCTGTTTTTGTTCTTCTGAGATACGACTTTTATGGAATTGCTCGTTTTTTATTGATGTGTTCCCCTTCCTTTCTATAATCTCCCCTCCCTCTCTCACACCCCGTTACCTCCTCCTCTACCTGTCCTTCCACTCAATAATCTCCCTCTTCCTTCCTTCTTCTCCCCCTCGCTCTCTCTTTCTCTCCCTCCCCCATTCCTGTCCTATGGGTAGCGTTCCCACCTTTCTCCGTTGTCATTTTGTTTGATCATATGGCATCATGTTGATTGGTTGGGGATGGTATCCCAATAAGAAAGTGTTTGATAACATTTGAGCTTTGGTGGATGTGAGGTTGTCATCAATGCTGCCACTGTGTTTCGGTTCCCCGAATTATCTTCCTTTCGTTGTTGGTTCACACATTTTCCCCTCCCTTCGGAATGAATGATTGTATCGTTGCCCCCGCTGAGTGCGAGGCACCCCTACCCCCCTTCACTTCAAATCGCCACTAGCGCAGGTTTGGCCGACTTCGCCCGATAGATGGCCCCGTGGTTACCCTCACCACAGAATGGACATACCGAGTGGTTTAACCTCGCCGCGTTTGGATATCGCCTCCTGCGTCTTGCTCTTTGCTCACACTGTGCCGACGTTTGTTTAGTCGGAGTAGCACAAGCATGACGTGTCGTGCTCGTGCGAAGCGCATGTGGCACACACATGCTATACACAGAAGAAAACAAAAGTGTGGCAGTGTATATTTCCATGTTTTAGCAGTAGATATATTCGATTTTGCTCATCAAATCGATGGAAGTACCATGAGGTGAGACGCGCGGTTGGAGACTTACAT